GGTTCTGGGTTCATATATTTTTGCTTCTTAAGAAAATGAGGACTATTGTAAAATCAATATCTTACTTCTTTCCTTCAAAGTCTTCAACAGATGTGCAGAAAAATCATCGTTGAATGCTTTGAGAATATTAAAATGTTTCACAGAATCTTCTACAACAGCATCTTCTGAAATTATCACAGGTACCAGCACACCAAAATTATCATCCTTTCGACACTGTCTGTCAATAACTACTCCTGTAATATAACTCGGAAAGTTGTCTGATTCTCGGCTAAACCCAACAACAACTTTTTTAGATTTTGATGCTGCTTTTATTAAAACGTCATGCAAATTTTCACCAAAAGCAGGTCTAAGGTCCTTTCTACAGATTACCTTTAGATTATGCTCCTTTAAAATTGAAGAAATTTCATCTTCCCATTCATAAACACCACCACTTACAATCAAACAGTCAAAATCTGTTATGAAAAATAGTGCAATATGATTCTGACATTATGATAAATGATAACAATTTCACAGATACTCTGTGTATCAGGTAAGAATTTTTTTACTAAAGGTAGGATACTTTTGTAATTCTGATTGACAAAACAGTTACTTACAAAAATGCTCGCCTGTATATAATTCTATATAAGCAACTAATCTTATAGCAACATTTTATAGATTGATTTTTTTTTATTGATTTTACTTTCTAGAGAAATTTTAATAATATTCAATTAAATACATGAAAATGTTTTCTATAGAAAATATATCGTATTACATGAATAAAATGAATTTATTTTAATGTAAGTTTTGCTAATTAACTCAGGATGAGGAGAAAAACCATCCAAGATATGTTACTGGTAGACAATGTAGTCTTTTATGGGTTCAGGCCCGTATTCAATATTTTTATTGGGTGGGTGCGAATTTGTAGAGATTGGACCAAAATTGGAGGGGAGCGCTTAGAGGGAGGGGATCCTCTTGGATCTAGGGGGCGAAGCTCAGGAATTTTTGATAATTGTGGGGGAACTAGATTCAGTTGGGCTTCTTGAATCCCCTACTATCAGTAGTGCGGATTTATGAATTTGATATAGAGGGGGAAAGGGAAGGAATTTTACAGTTTGAGAGTCCATGACACCTCAGCCCCACCATGTTTGGGCCTGAGGTAAGAAAATCTATGATTATAGCACCTCTATATGGCTGGAGATGGGGGGGGGGGAACCCTGCTGCTGGGATCAAGGTGGTGGAGCTCAGGCATTTTGGATAATTTTATGTCATATTTAATAGATTTCTGAAAATGCATACGGTTTTAATCTAGGCATTTGATGAGAGGCCAGGGAGGGACTTCATAGATTGAGGAAATACCACTGTCAGTGATGGATTTAGGAATTTGATATAGGGGAGGAGTGGAGGAAAGGGAAGGATTTTACAGATTGACAGCAGTGCAGTAGCCAGCTATTGAGACATTTGGGACAGTCCCACAAAATTTTTCTAATGGTTCCACATTTTAAAATTGGGTCCAAATTATGCAATTTCATGCATAAAATGGGTCCACTTCTATTATTTAGCCTAAAATGGGTAATATTTTAAGAAAAGTGGTAAACTTTTAAGAAACTGGGTAACATAATTTGAATTTACAAGTAAAGTGGGTTCACACAGATATTGTCCTGTGATGTTTGACAATCTTGGCTGCGGCATTGATAACACCACAGCCCCACCATGGTTGGGGCTGACGTAAGAAAATTCATGATTAACCGCTCTGCAATGCGACTTGCCATATCGCTTTAAATCCACTTGTGGAGTAAACTAAATTATCGAGAACAAACAGTTTATAATATTAATTTACACCGCAGATACACTGTTACCTTATTTCTACCGATATTAACTCTTTGTTCTTTCAAAGTTTTTATTTCATATTTTTTAGTACTTTTATGACCACTAATAATGATTTTTCTCAACTACCTTTCCATGATTTCAGTATTAACTCTGATATTGTTTCACTTACGAATAATTCCAGTTCAAGTTCTAATCCCTTTCTAAACACTGAAGATGATAGATTTGATGAGCAAACTGAATCACTTATTAACCAATTAACTCTAGATCTAACACTCTTGATAATTGTTTTTATCTCAATGCAAATAGTATTAATTCTACTTTTGGCAATTCGTTTAATACTAAATTATCTTTTTTTTATTTAAATATTAGAAGCCTTAACAGTAAAATTGATCATCTCGAATACTTCTTGGGAACCTTAAATATTGATTCTTCTATCATTGGTATTTCGGATACTTTGCTTTCCGATGTCTCATCCACACTATATTATTTTAAAATTATTCATTTCATTGAAAAAAAAAACAGACAACTTCAAAAAGTAGGTGGTGTTGGACTATTTATTCGCGATGAATTAAATATTAAACCTCGTGCAGATTTGTCTCTTCAGCGTCAATTTTCATTGAAGTAGTAAATTTCAAACAGAAAAATACAATAATCAGAATAATTTATCACCATCCGGGTAGCAGCATTGAAGACTTTACCAAACATTTTACGATATTTTAAGTAAGATAAATTCTAAAAACAAACCTTGTCATCTTATGGGTGACAAATATTGATCTACTAAAAGTTCTAAATCATACCCCTACCGGAACTTACCTTGATACTGTTATTTCAAACTGTTTTTTCAATACAATCTCAAAACCAATTAGAATCACCCCCCCCCCCCAGGAGGACCACTCTTATTGACCATTTACATTCAAATAGCGTTTGTAGCTCTATTCACACAGGCGTTTTATTTTTGATGCCTCAGATCACTCCTTTTTTATAAATCCAGTCTTCGCACATGAAGTTAGCCTCATTATTCATGGTCTACACTTTAATAAAGAATCATTCCACGACATTGTCACATCCAAGGTATTATTAAAATCTATCTATCCCCAGCATAATCAGTCATCTGATAATAATCTCATATTACTATTATTCCATAAACTCGTCTTTCAGGTACATTTCCTAACTATCTTAAGTTAGCAAAAGCCATTCCAATTTATAAGAATGGATCAAAGGATTCTGTCTTAAATTATAGACCAATCTCTTAGTGTGTTTTTTAAAATCACTGAAAAATTAATTTTTTAAAGTAACTTATAAACCAATTAATTGCAATGTCTCAAATACCGCCTTTGATATTATTGATCATAATATTCTCATTCTTGAACTTCTGTACATAATTACGTCAATGATTTAACTAATGCAAGTGACATCCTGCGAGTTGAGTCCTTTGGATGATACAACCCTATTTTATTCAAATTCTGATTTAAACGTTCTCTATACACACTGAATTATGAACTTAAAAAGGCAAGTACTGGTTTATCTCAAATAAATTCACTGTAAATACAACTAAAACAAATTATATATATATTTATATAACGTAAATGGGCATGGTTGGGCGTAAGTATAAGTGGGTGTGGTGGACCCAAAACATTTTTTAAAATTAAAGGAAAATTTCATAGTGTACTCGATCTTAGTAGAGTGCTGGGTAGTAGAAAAGGTGGTCCCCGAGGCCTCTTCAGGGCTCCAGAAGACACATGCATCACATAACAAGCACAGCTCCAGAGTAAACTGCTGGGTAGTAGTTAAACGAGCCCTGGGCCCCTCAGACTTTTTAAAATTATAGAAAAACTTCGGTATTTCAATGCAATGTAGTGGAGTGCCTTCTCTGGGGCCCCTTTTAGACTGGTAACTGGGCTTTTCCCCTGAGAATGCCACAGGTGTTACGCCACTGCTAAGGCTCGATAGTAAAGTTCTTAATAGTAGAAAGAGGGCTTGGTCCCCTCCGTGGCCCCTTTTGGGTGTGGGTATAATTTAGTTGAGTAGGCCTTGGTTTAGGTTGGTAAATTTAACAAATGCCCACAAAATATTAAAGATTTGGCTCCGAATTCGGCAGACTTGAAACTCTTCCCAATTGATAAAACCAGTCATTGGTCGCCGTAAAGTTGAAAGTAAGGCCCATTCTTGTAAATTCTTCTTACTACCTACTTGCGTAGCCTACTTAAGTAAATGGCATATCACATTGATCTTTGTTTAAGGTGTGTGCTTCAAACGTATTTTTGCGAAGTGCTGCTTTCAAGTCTGTGTCAGCCTCAGTGATCAGCTGTTCTCTGCATCGCGAGTGACCTAGTGTTCGATTTTGATAGAATGACACACAGTCTTTTCTTTGTATGAGCCTTGTTGGATCAATGCAAGATTGATAGATTCTGAAGTTAAATACATTAACTTTCAGCCTGAAAATACAAAATACTATTAAATAGTTGTTCAATTAATGTATAATATTAGGACAAGAAACTCGATTCTGACACAATTACCAATATGATTACATCTTGTATATATACAAGAAAAAATAATTAAAATAATAAGAACACAACAGTTTTACATGCGTTTAAAGCACATATAGGCCTAGAATGCACTCAAATACTGTAGATTTTCACCATAAGCTAGGCTCCAAGTGCACATTACACAATTTGTTTTTTTAGGCCTATTGCATGACCGATCATCTAAGTTGCATTGATGAACCCTTCATGTGAAACTTTGCCTATCGCAATCAGTAGTTTTCTTCAGTGGACCACTGTATGGCCATAATCTGTGTGTGTATGACCTATATTTGATCATGACCGTCTATTGCCCTCTAAATCTAAAATATTGGTTGCTTAAAATTTTATTTTTGTCCCTTAAAATTTAGAGAGTATGCCTATTCCATACTCGGTGCATTCTTATACATAACTATTTATTGTTTTTTTTCTCCTTCGCTCTTTTAAACCAATCTGTATTTTTGCTGTGTTGTTTAGATGTGTCCATGCATCTCTAAATAAGGGCCACAGCTGTGTCGAACGATGGACCTGCGATGAATAAGGTGTAAGAAAATTAAATTTTTGGCAAAACTGAGCGGATACAACTGATTAAAAAGCAGCCCTTTTAATAATTTTACATATTATTATAGTCAAGATTAGATGGTGGGCAGAGGCCTAATTCAAAAAAGAGATCCAGTGAGAACAATGGTCTTTTATTAGGCCCCATAAAAAATATGATTAATACTGTATTAGCTTATCACCCTATCAAAGAATAAAAACTGATGAGGGAGGAAGAATTTTTTTTTTGCGCTAACCCGTTTTACCGATGTTCACAAGTAAAAGTCACAATGGAATCAAATATATATTTAAAAAATATGTTTTTGTTGTACCAGTAAACATATTTGCAAGAAATCCTGAGCTTTTCAATATTTTAATATAACTTTTTATATATTGTAATAAATTTATATTGTAAAAAATGCATCTGAATAAAGATACCAAGGAAAATTTAAGTGAAAAAAGATGGAAAAACAACCATTTGAAAAAAAAATTTATGTTGATTGAAAACAAATTGAATTTCCCCAAAAGTGTGATAGGGAGGGGGTGATAAACTATTAATTTTTATACCGAAATAAAAAAAATAAATAAACAAGTTGCAGTAAAATCACCTTCTTTTATGTTTACTTTGAAATATTTATGCAGTTCACAACAATTATAAAATAAACCAGATGTGTTATATGAAGGCTCTAATGTTGACGGAATGAAGGCTCATAATGTTGTGTGATTATTTTTTTTTTTTTTTTTTATTTATTTCGGTATAAAATGTACAACAGGCAGCCAGATGGCTGAAAATGTTGAACTCACATATATCAAAAAGTGAGCAACAATATAAACATGACATTAAAAATATAAATAAAAAATTGACAGTCAAAGGATAAATTACAGCCTACGCACCTAGTTTGTTGTTAATCAATTGCACAAATGTTGGAATTGGTGACTTTCTAAAACGTTCTGTTTTGGACCTACTAAATTCAAGTTTGTTTATATAGAACTGTTTCTAAGACTAGATGTCCACTCACGTAATCCACTGCCCAAAACTCCTGACTGAGGAGTCTGTATGTATGTGGACATACTTCAACTATTTGATTTTGTTTCGTGGTTTCATAACCACAGTCATGATCGCTACGACCTAGAGGTGAGTGGCGTTCAGGAGGGTGATAGAAGAGCTCGGGATGGCAAATGAATACTTTATCAAAAAAATGAATTTTTGAGTGTAGGAAAATGAACAATCTGGGTCATAGAAAGGCTGGATGTTAACAGATCAGTGTCCAAGTAGTTGAAATCCCCTAATATGGGAATGGGGGTAGAGAGGTCTTTGGAACGGATTGCATCAACATTATGTATTAAATGGTCTAACAAGTCATCACCACCAATGGCTGATGGTGGATAATAAATGGCACCTTATGAAGTAGCACTGGGAGATCCAAGCCTGAGTCGGGGACAATGACTTTCCTCCAACAACATTCATAGTCACATGCTTCATGTTCGGCAAAATTATGTATGCTATTATTCATTATTTATGAATAAAGCAACTCCTCCTCCTGTACGTTCGCACCTATTCTTTGCAATGCAATTGAACTTAGGAATGTTAACTAAAGATTTGGTTCGATCATTCAGCCATGATTCTGTAATAACAGCTACATCGCTACCAAGTTCCGTTACTGTTGCTTCAAACTCATCAATCTTACTGTTCAATGATCTTGCGTTTGATAAGAAAAACTGAGGGCTCGTGTGAATAACTTTAGACTTCTGCTCCAATTTGATATTAATTAAATTGTTACTCCTAAGTTTCCGTTTGTCAGTAGGCCTATATCTTGAATTACATTTAAATAATGCATTCCCACAGCTGCCAGTGTTTATCCGCACTTCAATTTTGCGTCCTAATTTTCTACTACCTCGTTTTCATTTGGTTTTATAATGCCTGTTCCTAGTACAACATGGTTGATAACAACGTATATCATACTCATGAATGCAAGGTATGTATCTAGCACTGTCTTCATTTGTTTTGAGCATTCCATGCATCGAGTCAACATCATGTTGTCGCAAGGACATTCAATTGAATGGTTCTCCAATGTTGCAAATAGGCACGGGCTACATTGGTTAGAGTAATGCAATCCAAAACCGTTTACTCGTTTAAAATCTAAGACTAATAAATACACGACAATTAAGTACAAAAGATATCCACAATTAATATAAGCAGCAATATACAAACATTTAGTATAAAAAATCACAAGAAATATTGCAGTTCAAATTGACCTGACAGTCAAGCAGTTCCGACAGCGACTATATTGGTGTCATTTTGCTTTGTATATGTCGTTTCTTATGTTATGCATGAATAAAAGGAACAATTAAAAAAAAATATGGAGTATGTGTTACTGCATGACCAACATTTGTTGTACTGTACCTATTGTAAATGTGTATTAATAGTCCAATAGTATGAAATGAATGAATGCATGAAATGACAGATGATCACATCGGAGCATCAGTGCACAACCACACTGTATGGGCATAATTTTTTAAGTCCCAGCTTCGCAGCATCGAGCGAAGTTTCTTAGCTTACAATAGTGGAATTTTAATAAACTTTAATTGAACAACAAATTAGTATTGTATTTGCAGACTGACAGTAAATGTATCCCCTCAATGTGTTAAATCCATCCCCTGTCTTATTTTTGCATTGATTGAAATACAAGTTCATACAGCGACTGAATCGTGATAGGCCTACACATCCACAGAGCAGCAGATCATTCATGCTCACACAGACTTAAATATAGTGCATTTCAATAGAACAACTACTAAATAGGATTTTGTATTTTCAAACTAACAGTAATTGTATTAAACTTCAGAATGTACTATCAATCAATTGTTTGATTCTTGCATTAATTCAAATACAAGCCCATACAAAGGCTGAATCTCAAGGCCGTTAAAGTGAATGGGTACGTCGTGTCGTTCTATCCATAGTCAACACTGCATTACTCGCTAGGCGGTAGTTACAAAAGAACTTAAATAGCAGAAGAATGAGCTGTTCTGCGTATTTACATTAAAATTGATGGAACATCCGCCCATGAATGGGGTAAAATTTGACCATTTTACTAAGTGGAGAAACTACAGGAAACAAATGAACCAGAGCGGTGCCTTTATTGCTGTTTATTATTTCTATATGGTGCCGCCGCGCGGATGGGGTAAAATTGCTCTCCATGTACACACAATGCCTTTGGAACGGATGTTCTACTATATTGGGAAGCTGCTCTATCTTCTGCTATTTATTATCTTTGCAGTTACTCGCTATGCTCACGAGCGATGCACAGAAAAGCTGATCACTATGGCTGACACAGACTTGCAAACAGCGCATGCGCAAAATACGTTCCATAAGGATGAACAATTCATTAGATTTTACCAAACTATCCTACGTTATGCAAATTCGTGTGCTTCAAATATGGCAATATAAAAATCTTTTTAAACTATTCCACTTGACTTCATTATACATATTATGATTTCAAAATACCACAAAATTGCCTAACTTGATTTAATAATTAAACTGACCGTATTTGTTCGAATCAACAGGGTCTGATTCGTTATCCTGTTTAATTTCTTCAGACCACTCCTCTTGTAATTTTTCATGCCCATTTTGTTTAAAATGATTTGATGTCATACTCTTCATGTTTTCTATTTAAAATAAAATGAAATTGAACAAGAAATCATGATACTAATTTTTTGCCATAAAATAAGGTGTAGGGTTACTCTCACTGTACAGTGCTCTTTTGTTAAAACCTGGGACATACATATTATTCTTTATGCTTTAAAAGAAGGCCTATATTTCAACAATTTTCGTGAGGGAGACCAATACCTTCCCCTCAAAATATGTGGGGGGACGTGTTCCCTGTCCCCATAATCTGCACCCATGGGTACACAAAGTTCACATCCCCTCAGCCACAACATGGTTGGGGCTGAGGTGCAAAAATTTCGAGAATATGGACCTCTGGGTGCCTGGAAATTGCACTCTCATACGGTACAAGTACAAATCTTACCAATAATTCATGTTTAACAACATATTACAAAAATTATATTTCTTATGTAAAATTCAGGGGGTGCGATCGCACCGTCTGCATCCGCCCCAGCTATGCTAGTTACTTCCACCACAGAGGTTATATATTTAGCGCTGTTTGTCCGTCAGCAAGATTTAATTAGGCCATAATTGAAAACCAGATCATAATACAATTTGGTGGAATGGTACATAATAATCTAGAAATACACGATAACATTTTAGGAAGAAAGGTAAGAAAAAACAATATGAAGCTCAGGAAAATTTGATTTTTTAACTTCGCGTTTAAAAGAAAAATAATTATCTCTTTGTTGACTTTACTATTGACTTATTAAGTCTAGGCTAGTTACCTCCACTACAGAGGTCATGTATTCAGCAATGTTTGTCTGTCAGCTATATGAAAAAAATTATAAACTGGATCATCATGTTTGACTTTGAATTAATAAAGAACGGCTTCAGCCCCCTAATGAACTTCATTATTAGGCACAATCACAAAAGATAGAATTGATAGCAAAAATATTGCAGTATAACAATCTATTCAAACTATTTTACAGGACTTCCGGATATTTCACACTATACATAAAAGGATTTTAAGATACCGTAACAAGGCCTAACTTGACTTTTCTTAATTAGTTGAACTGACCGTCTTTGTTTGAATCAACAGGGTCTGATCCGTTATCCTGTTTAATTTCTACAGACCATTCCTCTGATAATTCTTCATTCCCTTTTTTTTTCAAACGATCTGATATCATATTCTTCACATTTTCTATTAAATATAAAATGAAGCAGAAAAAATTGTGATATTAAATGTATAAAAATGATGAAACCAGTGAATGTAACCAAAGTAAATAGCATCATGGACTGGGTGGGTAACATCAGACATTATGCATTGTAATTTCTTGGATAACATTTCATTACATAAACATTCTAATTGTTTAACATCTGTACCCATTATCTTACTTGCTTGTTTGATTTATATAATATATTAAATGCTTGCGGTACACCAAGTAGATACGTAGTTCTGAAAAGAACTGTTGTTTGTTGAAAATGTCTTAACGTTTCGATTGAGTTGCTTCAATCGACTTCAGGAATGTAATATCTGCAGAGAATCCAAACACTGTTATACTTAATGCAACAAACACCATATATTACCTTGCATTGGAGTGTCACCTAAAATGAGACAAAAAATATAGCATTCAATTAATCAGTACTAAATACAGCGGACACGCTTCTTTCAAATTTAATTTATTTTAGAAATGAACCATTTTAATGATACATTTAACTACAAGTTCATATCAACATGATTTTATATTTATTTTATTCTTATGTCAGCCGCAATAACGAAAAAAGTTCTGTACACAAGTGACAGCTTTAGATTAATAAAGATCTGATCACTGACCAAAGAGACATCATATCAATAGGGTTTTGCTTCATATAAGTCACTGGACACATGATCAATCTTGCATATTAACTATAAAATATAATTTAACTTATCTCTACAGTTACTGAAATGGCTATTGGTTGGGTTCGCATGCCAAAGGGTAACACATATCTAGCTAATACAGTATAATTAATCAATTTTATCTACAATTTAAGATATACGAAGTAAACTGTTATAATTTTATATTGCAATTAAACAAACAGGCCTAATAATTGAAATAAAAATGAAGGACTAGATAAATATTTTAAAACACAATAATTCTGAAGGTGAAACAATACTGCGTTCTATAGTATGGTGGTAAAGCATGAGAGCTGGGAATATGGTTAATTCTTCGTTCTTCACTAGATACTTCATCTTTGACCATATTTTCTAATTAGTACACAGATTTGGATTAGCATTCTTCATAAAAACAGCTCTGAAAAGAGGAAGAATGATTTTTCTTCAGAATCACAATTGCAGACTGAACTGAAACTTACCAAATTTATCTGCAATTGCGAATATTTGCTGTCGGCTTTCTTTGCAATCAATGGCTTCGTTAAGTGGACGAAACTCAGGTGGAATAATAGCACCTTCTGATAACTTAAAAAATAATAGCCTGGATTTATCAAGACTTTTTGTTTCCAGTATGCTATGAAGAGCATGGTATGCAGCAAATTTTGTATAATCAGTCTCTTCAGTCCCTGAAAATCCAAATACTACTGTCTTGCTTCTTTCAATAGATGCAATTATGTTATTCACCAGCTCTCTACCACCAATCCCATCTTCCTCGCTTGTGCACACAAGATCAGGCCTCTCTTTTTTGGCAGAACTCAAAACATCCTTAATCCACATTTTGTCTTCACTTATAAAGAGTATATCCGAGGTCACTTTAAGGGGAAAAAAAATGATAAAGATCAATACACTAAACTGTACTATAAAAGTGTTACTTCAGAAATAATAATATTGTATATGCATGTTACACATATATTAATGACATGGTATACCCCTTTTACACTGCAAGCAAAATTCCGGACATACGGCACCCGATATTACGGCATTTCATATTATTTTGTGCGCATGTTGCGCTCCATAAGATCAAGGAGTATTGATAAAATAAACAAGGCAGATATCAGTACGTACCCTAGCCTACAATGTAATTTACTTCTCCGACACCGTTTCACTCATTTATTATTCGTCTCCGGACATATTTGACATTGGAAGACTGCGTGAGTTACTATGTTAATTATTTGAGTTTTAATGTTTTTATTGTTTTAAAGAAGTTTATTAAGTTAACCTAGGCCTAGGATGAGAAGAGATGATGTTGCCTGGGGGCGACGTGGGCATGAGACGAAGAAGTTTGGTGCGCCTCTTATGACAAATTATTGAGGCGATGCTTTGGTGTTGCACTTTAATTGATTATCTCAATGCCAGAGAGATGCGACCTGTTCTAGATGCACCTACTGACTTTAGCAGGCGAATGAAAGAATTAGACAAGAACACGAATTGTCATCTCCTGTTCTTGTGGAATTAGCAAGTCAAAAGGTCGACTTAATGTTTGAGTACATGCGCCAAATCAAGGATGCTGAAGCAACCATATCTACTTTAATCCCATTTCTAAGGCGTGAAACTGAAGCACGAGAATGCAGAGAACAACCGCATGTGTTTTGTGACGTCACAAGCAAAAACCCATCCGCTCTTCACATTAGTAGCCAAACATCTGTCCTCCCGCCTAATCAGTCATTTATCGAGACCAACATCAACAAATGCCCATTCTGTGTCGGTCATCCTGATCATCTTATCAGATGCCCAAACTTCACATCAAAATCGAACGAAGAGAGAAGGATAATGATTATGGAAGCCAAATGATGCTTTCTTTGTTTTCGAACGTGAACACAGGATGATATCTCCAATATTTTGCCGTCTACCATCCACACAAGATAACCAAAATTAGAATTGTGTGGAACTCTGCTGCAAAGTTCAATGGATTTTGCCTAAACGATGGATTTCACAAAGGTCCTGACTATTTGAAATCACTTGTGAAATGCTTCCTGCACTGGAGAAAAGATAGTGTGGGCATAGCCGGTGATATCACAAAAATGTTCAATCAAATCGAACTCCCAGCACATGATCAAACGTTTCATCATTTTACTTGGCGTTTTGGTAATACCTCAGGACCTGTTAGGTATTTCCAATGGTTATGGTAGCCATTCGGTGATAAGCCGGCACCAGACATTGCCATGATGACTGTCCGTCTACTTGCCGAGGCTGCGACAAGTACTTATCCTGAGGGTGCAATAGGCAGTCCACAGTTACACAGGTTTATTGACGCCTGCGGAGCTGCAATAGGACCAGTGATCTCGTTAAGATGGGACACCCCAAATGGAGTAGTGTTGACTTTCGCTATTGCTAAGGCGCTCGTTGTACCGCTGAAACAACGATCTAAACCGAGACTTGAAGCTAACTGCTGCTGTAGTCATGGCACGACTTGCCACTGTTGTACTAGAAGTAAATCGGTAGCGTCAGTTCCAGTCAATTTTAAACAGATTCAGAAGTAGTTCTTTCATGGGTTAGGTCACCAGCAAGAACATTTTAGGCATTCGTTTCTGCACAGGTTCATGAAATTCAGGATGTTCTTCCTAAATTTTCAGCCGTGTGAACTGCAAGAGTGAATCCGTGGTCCTGAGTTTCTTCGCCAAGATAGAGAGATTTGGCATTGCTGCGAGCCCGATTACGACACTGAAGCTAAACATCGTATAGTGAAGGAGTATGCACCCGATGCCCTTCGAAAAATTAATTGCGTTTCTGCCCTACCAGAGATGTTAAACGTCTGTGGGCTTCGACTTCGGATTGGAATCATCTTGTTCGCCTTATCACCTATTGTCGCCGTTTCCTTAATCAAGAAGGAATGTAGACCTAAATCTTTTGCTTTAACACCAGTTGAGCACGCATTGTTTTATGTAAGTCAAAGTTTCTAGGCGGAAAATGAAACTGATGTTTGGACTACCAGAAAATTGTATCCAAAAATCGATAGAAAAAGCTTAGTCCGAGTTGAAGGAAGGCTCCAGAAACTCAACATTCTAGAAGAACAAAAATTTCCTGTCCTTCTTCGCAGAGATTCACTCGAGATTCACTCGAGATTCACTCAACATTCTAGAAGAACAAAAATGTCCTGTCCTTCTTCGCAGAGATTCACTCTCTATATATCTTGGGAGGAGCTAAACTGTTTAAAGAAGTGGCCGCAAAGTGCATGTACTGCCGAACCAGACGCAGAAATTTACTGACTCAGCAAATGGGAGAACTTCCGAGTTTTAAAAGGAGATCCACACACGCCACCATTTCATAGCGTAGCACTAGACTACTTCGGCCCCATTACTATTAAATAAAGTGGAAACGTTATGATTGTGACGTGCACAACAACTCATGCAGTCTCTCTTGAGCTAGAAGACTTGTTTTCTACTGAGGGATTCATAAATGCTTGGAGACGATTTTCCTGTAATCGTGGAGTTCACCCGGTAGCTACCTTTAGTGACAGAGGACGAAATTTTATTGGAGCTCAGGACTCTATGCTCAGGGTAAACTAAAGAAATGGATCGACTCATGCAACATTGAACAAGTAAGACTAGAATTCCCAAAGACAAACACATGCTTCGACTGGAAATTCAATACTCCACAGCTTCTCATACGAATGGGATAGTCGAATCACTTATCAGAAGCTGTCACAAAAGTCTTAATGATGTTACTGATTACCATCATCGCAAGTTCAGCGATCTCGAATGGAAAATTATTCTCGCTGAAGTAGCCTATCTTATAAACTCCCGGCCCTTATTTCCGGATGGCTCAGATCCATTAGAATTCCCCCCCCCCCACCCATTACAGCTCGGTATGTGGAGGCGGGTTCTAGTAAATGAAGTATTCCCTGGTAAAGATGGTCTTGTCCGCAAGGTCACAGTTAAGACAGTGGAAGGATCAAATGTAGTTGTAAAAGACAAACCCATACACAAAATGTGCTTGATAGCTACAGTAGGAGAACTGGAACATGGTTTTCATTCTAACGAGGACACTGAAAAGAACAATATTTAATCTATAGATTGTTGAAATCCTGTGTGTTTACCATGGTTCACGTTCACTCCCCACTAGGCGGGAGTATTACGGCATTTCTTATTATTTTGTGCGCATGATGCGCTCCATAATATCAAAGAGTATGGATAAGATAAACAAGGCAGAAGTCAGTATGTACGCTAGCCTACAGTGTGCTAGCTGCTAACCAATGTTTATAAATTTGAAATTTACCTCTCCGACACTGTTTCACTCATTCACTTTATTATTCGTCTCCGGACATATTTGACATTGGAAGACTGTGTGAGTTACTGTGTTTATTTGAGTTTTAATGTTTTTAGTGTTTTAATGAAGTTTATTAAGTTAACCCAGGCCTGGCCCAGGATGAGAAGAGATAATAGTTACCCGGCGGATACGTGCGCATGAGATGAAGAAGTATGGTGCGCCTCTTATGACAAATTATTGAGGCGATGCTTTGCTGTTGCACTTTAATTGATTATTGTATTCAAAACAATAATTGAAACGTTGATTTGTTATCTTCATAGGCCATAATGTTAATGTTGCAGCATAGAATTGTAGTATTGCTATAATTGCCTTTTATTAAATAGTTGTTTATTTGTTTTGTTTGTAGACCTTACCGTCATCGTAATAAAGGTCAAAGTTGTCTTAATACAGTGTCATCGTCTGTTGTCCGGATTACTCAAGATTTTTGAATACCCAGGTTGGTGTAAACATAAAAAAAACACCACCCGAGTTGAAAAACATCCCAAGATTGATGTGCGGGACGCATTTAGCGTTGGACAACCTGGGTGCATTCCGGAGTTGCCAGTGTAAACAGCACCAAATTAGACTAGGCCTTTCCTGGCTAGGGAAATCTTACCTGGCGCTACCACAGCTGTGGTCAGGTAGGCCTATAAACTTTGCATGTAATGGGCTAAACACAGACACCTTTCAAATTAAACCCCTTGTGCTCCAGTATAGACTTGATATCAACAATTTTGATTTAATTCGCATAATTTAAAAACAATCTGCAGATACATTGCTTCAATATCGAGTTGGTTGCCGGTGTAAAATGGGAACAACTCGGGATCAACCCAGACTTTTTCGTTCAATTTAAATGGAAATCATGCATTTTTCCATCGTCGGAAGTATAACTCAATGTCCTATTCCAGTGCCAATGTAGTAGTATTACTTTTTAAATGTGTATGTGTATAGTAGGCCTATGTTTATGTTTTATTATGTAAACTACAAAAAGCAACAACTCAACGTCCTATGCCAGTGTGCCAATGTAGTAGTAGTAGTATTTTTTTTATGTATGTTTAATAACTGAATTCACTTCAATGCTATATTTAGATATTCATTCATTATTATTATTATGATTATTATTACTTTTTTATTATTACTTTTTTATTATTACTTATTTATTATTAATACCTGTATTATTATTATTAATTATTATTATTATTAATTATTATTATTATTATTATTATTATTATTATTATTATTATTATTATTATTATTATTATTATTATTATTATTATTATTATTATTATTATTATTATGTCTTTGACATTATCATTGTTTCTCTGGTAGGCACCTTGTACAGGGACATGTTCCCTTTTTTGCCTACCAGTCTCATTGCATTTTGAGTGAAATAAAATTACGAATTATGAAATATACTAATGTCATCTATCGATAAAAACATTGATTCGATTAATTACCAGCAGCTTTTCGCACTGTGGCAGTGCCGATAGAAAACATAAATTTTGGCACTGCGGCAGTGCTGATAGAAAACTGCAGCTTTTTTTCGCACAGCGGCAGTGCCGATAGCCACTACCATATTTTTATCCACCTGAGACCCACCATGGTTGGGGCTCTGGTGAGACAATTTTTAAGAATTTCATAGATGCTCGAAAGTAGTACTTAAATATTACAATTACAAAATCTACCATATCCTTCTGAACCCACCATGGTTTTGAGGCTAATATACAGGTGTTGTTGTACAATTGTTAGTTTACAATTATACAGTAACAGATATTTTAGTTGACATGAATAGAATTCTAAATTCCCTTAATGGTAAGACGCCTGGAAGTATTATGCTGCAGTATATTAGTATATTGTGCAGTCGTCTGGACAGTAAATTCTAAAAGTCGTTTTGACCTTACTCGAATTAATAATGTGTTACTGCAATGCTAACATATTACGTTCCTATAATAAAATCCAATTTATTCACTGAAAGAAATTTAGATTCATTTAAATTTAATTTAAAAACATTTATATAACAAACTCTTAAAGATGTATTGTTCCATGCTAAATACCAAAAAAATCAAAAAAATATTCTTTGAAATAAACTTGCCCATTTTAAAGTAACATAAAAGTTATCAACTTGAACACAGAAATTAGTGTATTTAAAAAATGTCTACCTATCATAGGGGATATATACCCCCAATATTTGACAAGGGGGAGATGGTCCATTGTATCATCCCCCCAATATTTTGACTATGTATGGGATAAAATGGAGATTTACACACTTCAAAGACTGTCACAGAAATAATTTGCACTGTATTATGTGCTTACAAAGATGAAAATTAGCATAATGTATTAATGTTGATAACAAAATTATTTTATCTGGTACCAATCTAAGCTCTTTTTTCCTTAGATGTTAGATGTGCTGGCAAAGAGAGCCACATTTCTCACTGAAGGGTGTGTACGACATCAGTAATGTTATGTCAATTCCAAGAATGTTTAAGGTTATATCGGTTGATGAGGAATTTATTGATTAGGCCTATAATAACAAATTGCATCAATTTATTTTGCAAAAACAAGGTTTCCAGCTTCAGAGGGGGGACAATCTCCTGTCCGCACAAGGGCACATATTGGTGCTAACACAGGGGTCTTGGGTCAGAGTGGGTATTTATTTTTTTTAAATTTTTTTTATTTTTATAGAGGGTAACCCTTCTAGTTTAGCCCAGTAGGTTAACTGATATTCAGGACCATCTTTAATAACATTAAAGAACAGTACAAACAACATCATTACAACATAATAATAACAACAACAACAATCCTCATTCACCATCTATACACATTGAGGCCCTTTTTTAGGTTAAAATGATCTATCTTAAATTTGTCCTTCTTGAGTTTGGGACTATTATGTGTTTAAATAACTTAATAGGATAAAACTCAAAAAGCCCTAAAAAAAAAAAAAAAATATTTTTGTGTTTTTAACTCTAATTTCGTCGGAATTGATGAAAACTCCCTAAAATGTGCAATTTATAGAGAATTGGCCTACCGTAACAAGAAATGCGTGCAAAGAATTTGGGAATTTTAGGCACTTTCAGAGGATGCTTTTGTCAAGGGGTGGAGAAAGATTTTCCAAAGATGGATATTTTCCCCTTGTCCCCCAGTGTTTTTAATGTTAATTTCGTTGGAATTGATCAAAACTCCCTAAAATGTGCAATTTTTAGAGGAAATTTCTTAACAAGAAATGCGCGCAAAATTTGAGGTTTTTAGGCACTTTCAGGGGATGAAAAGGCATTTATAAAGGGGTGGGGAAGATTTTTCAAAGATAGATATTTTCACCTTGTTCCCCAGTGGTTACACCATCGGGCAGCATAGATCAAAGGAGTTATGACAGTTTTTAAAGTGGAGAAGGGATGCAGGGTGTTGTGAGTCTGGTCATTATGATATCTTCCTTTTTATTCTTGTCTTTATTTTTGTCTTCTCTTTTTCTTTCCTTTTCTTTTCCTCTTCTTTCTCTTTCCCTCAACCACCCCTATTTCTTTTCTCTTATTACCCAGCCCGGTACGACGGCTTGGTCAACCCGGTGAAAACCGTCAGGGGAGGGGCAGTTTCCCTCTTTCTTTTTCAGATAATTGCTTATTTATATTACTTTTTTTATTATTATTTTTATAGATTTTATCTTTCAAATTTAAGCTTAACACAAGTCACTTTATACAATATAATAATGATGATATTTTTTTACCTTTCATAGTGCTGGTTAAGTACACCTTAATAAAAGACCTTCACAGTTCAATCCAACTATAGAACATCACACCTTTAAATAATAATTGAAAAGGTCAGTGACATATTTACCAATAAACTGGAAATCATAAAATTAAACAGCTAAAAAACAATAAAACATGATGAATGAAACATCTTTACATGCTTTAATTTAATGATATTTACAAGAGGACCACTGTTGTCAAGGGAAGGGGAATTGAGGGTGTAGAGCCTACAAATGTAAAAATAATCTCCATGTAAGCTGCATGTGTGTCTACATTGACTTATTAAAGAACGCATGACTAGTATGAGTGTGAAATCAAGAAACATACAAAATTGAATATGCACTATTAACTCTAAATTTGTTTACACTACTTCAAAAACAAAAATAACACAATATCTGCGTTTATGAATAAAATCCCAATTTATGCACTGAATGAAACTTAGACTTTATAAAAACATTTATATAACAAACTCTTAAAGATATATTGTTCCATGCTAAATACCAAAAAAATCATAAAAATATTATTTGAAATTAGCTTACCATTTTGAAGTAACATAAAAGTTAACTTGAACACAGATATTTGTATTTAAAAAAAGTCTACCTAAATTAGTATTTTAAAAAAGTCTACCTATCAGTTTACAGCGAAAAATGACAGAAACTCTTCCAATCACTGGAAGTGTTTTATTATTTTTATTATACTTTTCTGGTTTAAAAATCATTTTTTAGATTCAATAATTTCTATGCACAAGTTAATAATTTGTATGTTATTGCAAAATGAGCAAGTTGATTTCAAAATTGTATTTTATGATTTTTTGACATTAGCAAGGGACAATACATCTTTGAGAGTAAAGCCCCTTTCCCACATTCATGATTTTTGCTACAATGGAGCATGATTTTAAAAAGTTTTAAAATCGCGCTCTATCGTAGTGATTCGTACTCCCCACATTCATGATTTTTGCTACAATGGAGCATGATTTTAAAAAGTTTTAAAATCGCGTTCTATTGTATTGATTTGTACTCAAAAAGTTCAAGTTTTACGTTTCATCAAGACGCAACTAGGACGCCGTCAAGATATATTAGGGCACTAATGCGACAACATTTTTACGAATTATAACGATAGAGTTACAATTTGTGACGACGTACTACGAATTACCAAAATTTTCATTCACTACGATTTTACAAAGACGCAAGCACGACTTTAGCACGATTTAACAAGACGCACAGCACAAAAACAATCATCACATGACATGACTAAAAAGCGCACTGTTTAAGCACTATCAACATTTGCAAGTTGCTGCTATAGAAGAAGAAAAAAAAATGTTGGCTGCTATAGTTTTGATAATCAAGAGTAAGCGTCAGTCACGCCGAATGCATAGGCCTAAATGAAGTGTATGGGTAAAGCCATGGCTCTTACGTCGTCCATATTTTAGACAGTATGAACACTTACTAGTTGAGTTAAATAGAGAAGACCCAAGAGGCTTCAAAAAACATCATTTTGGGAGCTGTGATATTAGTAGGGCTTGAGCACCAGGCTTGGACTGAAAATGAAACGCCACCCCCCCAACCAAAAAAATTACGGTAAGTAGTTAAAAAACCCCCAAAATCACCATATTTTGCAAATTAGCACCACTCAACTGCTGTCTCTTATACACATCTAGATGTGTATAAAAGACAGCCATTATACACAAGGATAAAAATTGTATAATTAAGAATAATTTAAAAGCGGTAGCTTAATTTACATTCTATTACAAATTATATTATTATAGTTTAATTTGGTCGTGGGGGTAGCCATTATGGTCAGTGGCGGTGCCAGCGAGGCAGGGGGCTTAAGCCCCCCAACTGGACAGGTCAAGCCCCCCTGCCAGACAGAGCTCGTCGGGCAGTCAGACCATAAAACATATAAAAATAGGCCTACACAAAGCCAACACATGTCTGTCACATTCTGAGAGTGCCATTTTCAGCAATCCAGATGTTGATATTCCTTAAAAAAATCTCATTTGGGAGGGGAACCTCCTCTCAACCCCTTCCAGCTCGAGCCTACGAGCACAAGTCCCCCTGTCGGACAACTTAGCACCCCCCCAGAAAATATATCCTAGAGCCGCCACTGATTATGGTACCTGCCACTTAGAAGAGCGAATGGACACATCGATAACCTCCATAAAGTGAGTCCCGCCTAACACATCAACATCAAGCTTATCGAGGACAAGGCCTTCAAACAGCAAATTTTTCCCATTACGTGAAAAATTTAAAGAAGTTTCCCCTACTACCTTAAGAGGGGACGAGCCATCGGCCTGGTGTGCAGACTGGGAAAGCTCTTTGCAGCTGCAGAAAGGGAAATCATGTTATCAGTAACAACACTATCAATAGTGATATGTGTTGAGATCTTATGTTCTCTAATTATAAAAGTAGATGCTGCCCTCTATGAGAGGCAATGATAGGTTAGAGGTGAAAGGAGAAGCATGTGATAGTAGAGTGGAAGAGACATATATGTGGGGTGTTAGACCAGTGATTGCTGTTAATAAAAGTTTGTTCTATAATACAATGTAGTGTCTGTTTTAATGCTGTAAAGACGTAACACTGGTGACGAGAATAAATAAGTAATAAATACGGTAATGCATTTAATCTGGCTTATGAACTTGATTTGATTGTACAGCATACATCAAACTGTGTTCGATTTTCAACATGGCGGTGAAGATAGATTTTTGTAGTGACATTCCAGTACTTGACTTAGAGTCGGATCCTACAACATTAGCCACACGATGCCGAGAATGGAAACTGTTCATAGACATCGTGATAACCGCTAAAGGAGTACCGGACGATAGACAAAAGAAGGCTATACTCCTTCATGCTGGAGGAAACCGCCTACAACAAATTTTTTTTGCACTACCAACTGTAGCGGCTGCCGATGCCCAAGCTGATGACGCGAACACGATGACGTACGCAGCGACCCTAGATAAACTGGACACCTACAGCCCAAAGACAAATGAGCCATACGAGTGACATAGATTTCGACGACTAAAGCAGGAACAAGGAGAGTCAGTGAGTAACTTTTTAACAAAGTTAAATAAACAAGTTAAATTTTGTAATTATGGTGATGACTCTAGCAAACATGTACGCGACCAATTCATTGAGGGATGCACATCTGAAAAGCTACAAAAAGTACTTCTCGAAAAAGGAAATGATTTGACATTAGAGAAACTAATTAAAGTTGCAAGCTCCTACGAAGCAGTTTTACACCAATCATCAGCGATGTCAAATAATACCTGTTCAAATGTCAGTAGAGTAACGACCGAAAAGAAAGAGTACAAACACAAACATGACATACAGTACAGTGTTGGAAGTGTGGTAGACATGGACAAATGGGAAAGGATTCATGGTGCCCAGCGAAAAACAAAGAGTATAATAAATGTGGACATTTTGGTCATTTTGCTGTTATGTGTAAGACTAAGGACTATAAATCTAAGCAAAAGTATGAAAGGGGTAAACAAAGTATTAGGAGTCAATCTGGTAATAGGGTCTCTGAAAAGGAAAGGGAAGGTTTATAATGTGCAAGAAAGTGATGAAGAATTGTTCAGTATTGAGGTAAACGGGTTATATGATGAACCAGTTTATGAGGCACATATTGGGGGTCAAGAGGTCAGTGTCCTGATAGACTCAGGTGCACAATGTAACATAATAAACAGGAAATTTTATAACATGTTAAAGAAAAAGGATTGAAATGTAAAACTGAAGTAGTTAAGAAGTTTTTAAAACCATATGGAACAACTGATCGGTTGAAAGTAACAGAACGATTCTGGACAAATGTTAAAATGGAGAATAATACAGTTAGAAATGTAGCTTTTCTAGTGTCAGAAATACTTGGGAGAACAATTTTGGGACGAAAAACGTCAACCGAACTTGGTGTTTTAACTATTGGCATACCTGTAAATTCTGTTGTTGATGAGGTTTTCTCAGATGAGAATATTGGTAAATTAAGTGATTACCAGCTTGAATTACATATTTAAAAAAAAATCCTACGTTCACTGCACAGGCATGTAGGCGCATTCAATTTAGCTTAAGGCCAAAGGTGGAAGCCAAGTTAAAAGAACTAGAGAAAATGGATATTATTGAGAGGGTAGAAGGGCCCACCCCTTGTGTAAACCCTGCTGTTATTGTTGCCAAACCAAACGGTGACATACGACTATGTGTTGATATGAGGATGGCAAACAAATACATAATTCGGGAACATCATCCAATTCCAACTTTAGATGAAATTCTATGTAATCTGGGAAGTAGTACTGTGTTTTCTAAACTTGATTTAAGTATGGGGTTTCACCAAATTGAATTATCCGAGAAATATCCGAGAGATTACAACATTTATAACACATGTTGGCTTGTTTAGATACAAGAGATTGATATACTGTATGGAGTAAACTCAGCCCCAGAGCAATTTCAACACATCCTTAGAGAAGTAATAGCTAACTGTCAGGGTGCTGAAAATATTGCTGATGATATTATTGTACACGGTAAAGATGCTAATGAACATAATGTTAGATTAAGGAAGGTATTAGACACACTTGCACGAACAGGATTAACTCTAAACCGAAACCAGTGTAAGTTCATGTGTAACGAGGTTGAGTTTATGGGACACTTAATAGCAAGCAAGGGCATCAGCGGTCCGACTGAAGAGCGAGTACGAGCACTCAAGGAAGCGAGAGCACCTAAGAACAGTAGCGAAGTTCGAAGCTTTTTGGGACTTGTTAATTTCAGAGGACGATATATTCCAGGCCTGGCAACTATCTCAGAACCTTTGAGACGGCTGATCAGAAATAACGAATACTTTAAATGGGGAAAGACAACAGATGGCATTTAACAAATTGCGAAATGCACTAGCCGATGACAAAAAGCTAGCATATTTTGATCCAAAGCTCAAGATAAGAGAGATCGCTGATGCAGTCCTGTGGGAATAGGGGCCGTGCTTCTACAGGAACATGAAAATGTGTGGAAGCCTGTTTCATATGTCAGTAAAAGCTTAAGTGACACAGAGACTGAATATTCCCAAAAGGAAAAAG